TCTGGCCATGGATCCTATAGGTCCAAGTAACAAGGATATATTCTCAAAATGCATGTATACGCTGAAATAGGTCACCGTTTGCATAAAACATGCAGTATGTTGGCAGATGCTATAACTGTATATGTAGATAACAATGTAAGTACAAAAATTTGATTGCTTATGAAAGTTTCCATTTGCACATATTGCACCTGTATGTTTCTGAATACATCAGATACCTACATTTCGTTTTTTCCACAGTATTTTAAAAACTAATCAGTATTCTTATCATATTCTCTACGTGTCCATATAATTATTATTAGAACATCAAAGTGGCATTACTTAATTTCACAGAGTAGCGAAAAGGGTGACCGCTTTACTTGCATTCATTTGTGCATATTTCCCAGAACTATTTAAATGTGTATTTTGGGATGTTTAGCCAGTTCACTTGTTTTTGATTGTCTTAAGAGAACTGACATACTAGGGAAGTGAATATGCTCCCCTTAAAGTCTCTCTTTGTTTTATTTAATGATATAAAACATCAGTGACAGTTGTTATACAGTATAATGATTTTTCCTTAGCAGGTGGGAAATGGCAGAGCCAGTGAGAAGAGACCACCTGGGAGCGTAAAATAATGTAATGCCAATAAGTGGAACACCCCTCTTCAGCAAAATTAATCAAGCTGATTTTCAAGAATAAAAGACCTTAGCTGCTGCTTCAGTCTTCTGAAGTTATTAATAGGTTGGGAAAGAAAGGCAGGGGAACTGAAGGAAACAACAATGCAAACAAAGCAGATATTGAAAGCAGTGGCACAAAACAAGCATGTTATCATGCTGAGAAACTGTGCGTAGCAGGAAAAAATTAAGATGTATTTGTTAGAACTATACTGTTGATGAAACTTATTGCATCTGGCTCTATGAATCCTGAGATCACTAAATCTGGACATTACAGATCTAGTTTCCCTCAAAATTATTCCGTGACAGTAATCTATGGATGACCTACCAAAAGTCATGAATAGTATATAGCTCCTTAAACTGATGTGTAATCTACAGCTTTACTCACAAACAGCACCACACAAACACAGGTACATCACAAATAAGCACCAATACCCACACAATGCATCCTCTTTGCTTTAACAGCATAATCAGAAATACTATTACATCACTTAAATTCCTATTGCCTACACTTTACAAACTAAACACAGTCAAGAAACTAACGTGCGAACATGACGTAGGAACTTGCGTTTTACACTTTGAAAGAGGCTTCTCAAGTTTCTGGTAACACAGTCTTTTGTCACAGCACCATGGCAGAATCTGTTCAGGAATACACTTTTTCAGTCTATTAGGACCTGATTTGGGAGCAGGAGGAGACAGCACCCAGCTGAGAATGTCTAGCAAAGGTTGCATGATTGATTTCTCGAAGCAGTAAGGAGGAAACAGAAAGGACTTTATCTTTTATTACACTGAAAAGTGCTGACGGCTCTGCTCAGGTTGCTTTCCTGTCGATGTCTTAAAAGCAACAAATGAAGGTTGTAACAGCATGTATGTAACAGCATATATAGTACAAAGGAAAAAAAAATCAGATAGACAATTAAGAAGAGGAAAAAGATGAAAAAAACCTGCTCATTTAATGATTGGTATTTTCAGAAGAGCCCTGGGGCATATTTACACTGTCTTCAGAAGCTGTGACTACAGCACGTCTAGTAGCCACCTTAACCCAGCTAGGTCAAGTACGAAAAGCCACGAAGCTCTAAGAATGAGCTCAAACTGCCATGTCTGATGAAACAGATGAATAATTATGTTCCAAGATTGTAGAAGACGCATCCCATGAGACTGGATGTTTATGTTACTGTTACTGATCTTAAGTGTCAGTAAAGAAAGCATGCGTGCTGCCCTTGCTGAAGTCAGTGCTGAACTCGCATAACTTGCAGAGAGATGTTTGGGACCTAGATTTTGAAAACTGGGTGGTTGCATGGGTTTTCTCATTGTTGAATGGACTAACTCTTACTCAGATATCTATTTTCTTTCTCACAGGATTAGTACCAAATGAAGCCAAACACGTGCCTTCATATATGGAGAAGGGTTGCAGAGACAGAAGATTGTTTTGTGGGTGCTGTTGAACACAACACAGAGCAGAGTGGAGTCTCCCCTGAATGTAAATCAGAACGAATTAATTGTACGAAGAGACGCCAATGGAAAACCGCCAGAAAACTGAGTTCTTAACATATATTTCCTGCCATTTATGAAGAATTCTATTAAAAGATAAATGCAAACATGATTGCTAAAAGTTAAGCATAATAAAATGGAGTGATTTTATTTACACCTATTATGGTAAATTTTAACATATATGTGGTATATGTTACAAGATCGGCATTCACGACTTGATTAGGATCTGAGTTACTGTATTGATTTATTGTGCTCTAGATTTATTGAGGTTTTGGCAAAGATTTTCTTCTTCAAGCGTCTCCTGAGAAATAACTAACTGGAAACAATTAAATATTGTGGCCCAGTGATAATTAAAAAGTAGGCACTGGGGACAAAATCTAAAGGTCATGATTGCTATGCTGATACGTGTAGATTCTGTTAAGGCTTAAGTTTGGAGTTGTTTGGGTTTTTCTGACTGTATAGTTATCAAAACACTAGGCCTTTTTGTTTTATGTTTGCATCTCTGAATAAAATGATTGGCAATAAATGTCGGATTGCAACAGCTTGAGCCCAGATCATAGCAAAACCTATTTCTCTGTCTTACAGTAAGACAGAACACAGTTACAATAGCTGTCTAAATGCTATGGCACAAATGTTGTTACTTACATGTTTTAGCTGGGTGACATTACCCTAGAATAAGAATTGAGACTGAAAAGCTACTGGACCACAGGGAAAAAGTGAATAGGCCAAATTTTACCTTCCTTAAACCTTTGTTTAAAAGGTTCCAGTTAGGAAATATATTAGACACCCGCATTACAAGAAAGAACTAGAGAAGAATCCTACTTAGGATCTTCCACTACTGACAATTGACGTTGCTCTCATCTAACAGGAGCATTTAAACATGGCTGGGCAGAGCGTGCGCATGTCTCCACTGACTTCTTGATTTACCCTCACATGTATACCTCCCTGTGAAATACATCCTCCTATGCGTAAGCATCTCACTGCTCAGAGTAACATAGTAAGTGACATTAATGGCTTTCTTAAAAGACCTTTTATCCCACAAATAATAAACACATAACAACTACATATTGAATTTTAACATTTCCATTCAGCAAAAAATCCCTAAATTCTTGACAAACTGATACAGAACTGCATTGCTTTATTCACCAATGAAATACGGTTACTTCTACGATTAAGTAATTAATTAGAGCTGCACAGTGCAAGACAAAATAGCAGAAGTCCTAATCTGCAGCTTATAATAATGCAAGCCATCTCATTAAAATAACAGTGGCAAGAGTAGCAATGGGATTACTATATTAAAATGCGGAAGGACTGCAAGACCTGGCTCCAACTTACAGCCTGATCAAGGCCCACTGAAATTAAATGGGAACTTTAATCCATTAGGCATTAAAAATAAAGAAACTGTCATCTCCTCCAGCTGAGAATGCAGGAAGAGAGACTGCATTGTTTGGCAGTGCATGTAGGTCAGCTTTTCCACCCTAACTGCAATTTTTGACATACTGGTCTTCCCAATCTGTCTTTAAAGGTAATTGCATTATTTTATTCCAATATAAATAAAAATAAATAAATAGTAAATATATTTTAAATACAGATATTGATTTTATAGTTTTTTTAGTACAAATCTACATTAGCATTTTCTTTAGCTTTCAAGTACCGTGTCATAAATATAATACATATAAAACAACATATGATTGCAACCTTAAGTGCTAGTGCAACTATTGTTGAGCAACCCATTTATTTCTATAGCTACAAATCATTTGGGCATATATATTATTTTGTTAACCAGGAAAAGAAGCAATTTTGAGTTTTGTTATCAGGTTTTCCTTAAGATCAGTATGCCACCCACGGTTTGCATTCAGTTTGCAGGGTTTGGAGTGAACAATTCATCAAGGACAATAGATTTTGCATCCTCCGAAATGTGTATGTTATTGTTCAGAAATGCTGCTATAAGTAATTAATTTTTAAAGGAAGCTTTTGTATCACTGAACAATACTTATCTAGCAATGCTGTACCGTGAAGAAAGCATCTGCCTGCTGTATCTTTGCTACAGAACTTTTCGGTCCAAGTCTTCTCCATGGCTCCTCCACTCATCTTCCCTGTGACAGGGGAAGTACTGACAAGCAGTGACACGGTTACAGTAAATCAGTAAGGAGACCAGCTCCTCGCCACAGACTGAGCTCTGAAAGGAAAGGTCAAGTTCAGTTCTCATTTACACACATGAAACCCCACTAGCTGAAATGAACCAGTGAAACTGCAGGCTAAATATATAGCTATCTACAACTATCATTATACGCACATGAAGACGAAAGAGCTCCAAGATACAGGTATTTCTAATACACGTTACTAGAACTAGTAGATGTGGTTTAGGTAAAAAATCCCAGATTTTGCCCTTGTGCAGTGTAGTGACATGTCTACGACACCCTCCCCGGTAAGTGCATCGCTGCATGAAGACTTGTTTTTGCAGGTCTCTTTTTAAAACCTACTGGATGCATCGATGTTTCTTCTTTGCATTGTCCCTGTAATTCTAGCTTGCCTTTTTTTTTTCTTCTGCATAACCACCAAATTATAAGTTTGATAATGCCCCTTTCTCTCTCACTTGAATAATTAGATTTTGCTTCTTATTACAGCTAAATATCTATCACATCAGATTCAATCGCTTCCCCCATTTTTTTTTTCATTGACCCATTTTGTTTTTTGACCACACACTTCCCTCCCAAAGCCCCAGTGTATTTTCTTTTTCACCTGACTCCCAGCTACGTTAAGGCTAGCATTAGTGGTACCACTGGCTTGTTTTGTAAATAGCCTCTCTTGACAAATAAGTGAAACCGCAGGTGCCCTCTCCCATTGCCACCAGGATGAGGCCCTGGAGAATGTTACTCTCTAGACAAAGACACTGAAGAGCGGAAACTCGGCTTGGTTGGGTTGCAGCAAGTCAGTCAGGAAACACACAGTTCCCGAGAAGCCTTCATACAGACTATATACACTTTCTAATGCCCGGGAACCAGCCTTAAATTCTTCTGTAAATAAGAACTCTGCAAACCTAAGAAACAGGGAAAAAAAAAGAAGAAAGTTTGTTATTATTTGGTGTCCCTGTATGTCTACTTACTTGCTGTTTGAAAGCATCATTTTAATAGCATTCAATGATTAAAAAAGTAGAATGTTCATTATTTAACCTTATGTGGAAATTTTACACTCTCCAATTTCCACGATAAACTGAGGTCCGTGAGATCTAGAAAAGCCAAATCTTTGCGATCTGTACATGTGTTATGCTTCTTTGAGTGCTACAAACTTTTTCTGATGTCTATGAGACATATTAGTAAACAAATACTTTTTAATAACTTTTATCTTGGTTGTTATCAATGTTTCACATTGATGTAACAAATTCTCTAATGCTGAAATGACTACACAAAAAAATGTTCTCACTTAAAAGCAAATGGCTGAAAATAAGTCACTCTAATTACCACTTCCCCTCATTATGTAAGGAAAACAGTAACAAACACTGAATACTACCTTCTTAAACATGTATAGTAAATTACAGAAATAAAATTAAAGATAACTGCAGCACGGTGACAGAATTTTCAGTGGGATATACTTGCTTGCATCAGGACAAAATGGAATTAACCCCACTAGCTAAGCCGAATAGCACAATGTCAAACTGGCTAAAACTGGGAATGATAACTTAAAAAACAGCAAGTATGTTTGGCTGTTCTGACCTCGTGTCAGATGAGACCTGGATGCGCGCCGTGCCTCCCCACCTGCGCCGCTTCCCTCCGCTCGCGGGCAGGGAGGGAGGGAGCCCCGGAGAACCCGATGCTTCTCCCACCACTGGCAGCCTGGAAGCGGGACTGCCGGGCTCCCCGCAGAGCGCGCCTGCCCCACCACCCACAGGTAGCATTGCACCTGAGGCTTAAACACTTAGGCTACATCAGAGGGTGGTGATCACAGGCTCTGAGCAGCTTTATAAACGTTCTTGAAACTTTCTGGCATTACCCTGAATCCAGAAAGGTAGGAATGCTGACCTTTGTGCCCTGTAAATGTATTTTGAGTTTCCAGTGAGCCTGTACAGCAGCAGGAACACATAAGCACTACCAGCCACTCCATGGCATATTCCAGGTCCCTTCTTCAACAGGCCTTTCTGCCAAGTTAGCTCTCCGCAGCGGATACAAGTGTCCAGATATTGAGGCTTCTTGGAAACCAGGTAAGCTTTGGCAAACAGATATGCAATGCCTAGGAAAATAGCAGTGAGATTGTCTTTTGTAATAAGTAGGCCAAGCGTTTCATAGAACACATAAGAAAATAAAGATTAATACACTAAAAACCTGCAGTCTCATGCTCTACACATGTCAAAGTTACGTATCTATATGCTACATATGGAGGTGAGAGTATCTGGTATGCTAAAAATATGAACTTATCCACTCCCTGTGACAATACCACTTTCGATCTTTTCAATGCATTATTGAATGTCAGGGTTTACTCTAACATTCCCAGTCTTTCATCAATTTAAAACAGTAGTCACATTTTTACCTTTAAAACAGTAAACTCTTAGCACTGTCTTCTATTGGTTTCAAATCCCCATTCACCTTACCTATTTACAATGACAGAACACAAGGATAGGCAAGATAATTTCTTACATTGGCAACAGATAGAATTTTTTACTGAATGAGAAAAATAAACTTGCCTTTTTTTTTTTTCAGTAGGGCCCATGCTGCTTTATTCTAGTTATAAATAGTTATGCATACTAAGTTCTGTTAAAAAAAAAAAAAAGCTATTGGGCTTCTTTTTAGAGGGGATTCAAATAAATTAATCATAATCTTCAACAGAGCACTGCACAGCTCAGTTCACGGTAACCTTCGAAGAATGCACATGACACATAACTAAATCAAGCGCCTAAGGAAATGTTTAGAATAGCTCGCTTGTGGTCTGAATATAATATACACTGAAGTAGCTGAAAAGCATTCTTGTAAACTACACGTGCGTTATTACCCAAGAACAGTGATGGGATACAGGATTTTCTGGGGAAGAACAATAGCAATTGATGAATTTACATGTCTCAAAATGTCTCCTAAAGTAACTTCTTTATGCCCTTTGGGATTTTGTCACTTTTGTTGAGTCTCACTGCATATGTATCCACTAACAGTTAAACCCAAGTCAAAGACCACTCTCAAGATACTGAAACAAAGAGGGCATCTTCCCTGCAGGTTTCATCACTTGGCCACCCATGCTGTAGAAGTAAGTTTTTCCTCTTAAAAATAAGGAAGGATGGTAAGCAAAAGCTGTTTTCACTTCACTTCATTATAGTGCGAGAGCAAGAAGCTTGTTCCTTAATCATACCAACAAAGAGATAATTTATTAGCAGAAAGCACACTTAAGGGATGTTAATTATAATGTACTCTCTGTGATTTAAATAGAACACCTTTAAAAGCAATGCATCAATGCTTATGGACATTCTTTAATAAAAGTAAGTTTTTCTGTAACCTTCTAGGTTCATGCTACCAAGCCAACATGACTAGTTAGCAATAAAATCCTGCCTGGGGGTAAAAAAGAAATTTCAATATACAACATTACTTGCCAAAATTGCTAATGTGTAGGATTAGATTCTGAACTGACAGACATCAGCCTTACATCATGAAACCAAACTAAGGATTGATTCTCTTCCTCTCTGAAAAGCAGTTTTATATGGGTGACTTTCAGAAAAAATGCCCCTTTCCAGTACAAACTCCCCTTCACATGAAAATACTTTGGTCAGATTTATGCATTATCCACGTAATAAGTGCAGCTTAAACTTTGATTCTGATGAGGGGGGAAAAAAGCTATTGTGAAGGCCTTCCCAAAACTCACAGATGTGTCCCTATCTGTGTTCTTTCGCATACTATTTCTCTGTCCAGCCATATGCTGTCTTTTGACTCAGCTGTACCATTCTTTGAGGTCTTGTCACGAAAGGGAGCAAGAGCAGAAAATATACAGTTCAGGATCACCAGAATTCTATGCTTTTAAAGCAGAAAATATGCCTATCCTTCCAGCTGCTTCAGCAATAAATAAAACACTCTTATCTGGAAGAAAGAGCCTAAATAGTTTGCTTGCATCTCATAAAACGTCAAAATCGGTCAAATTCAACCTGACGTTATCTTCTACATGGAATCACCTAACACGGAAAAGCATTGTGATCAGCATCTGGCTATTCATAATGGGAAAAGAACCTGGAGCTCCATGACACCAGTGTACGAGCTCGTTCTCCCGCTCAATTGTCTCTCCCAGCTCAGGAGGCCAGTTGCTGTTCTGTTCTTGGTCCATAAGAAAATCAACGCTCTGCCACACAAGCTCCTGATCTGCTGGCTGCAGGTACTCATAATAGGAAAGCAACATCTGAAGGATTGATGAAAGCCCATGTGCCGCACCTGTAATGAACAGAAACAGTCAAATCAGAGGGCAGGTATAGGTCCTACCTCCATCTCACAGCAGCTTTCCCCTGGGACTGATTTCCTTGTCAAGTGCATGGCTCTTTCATCTTCTTTATGCGTATTACAATAGTGCTTGGAATAAAAGCTTTCTAGGTGCATGACACTATGATTTGTTACTACTTCTGTCATTTCCAGTTCCCTTAGCTGTGCAAAAATACATATGATTTTTTTCTGCTCTCACTCCGATATGACTGAAACTCAGTGTGTGAAGTTAAACTGAACCTAAGCTGAATACTGTTTCAAGACATTATTGTTCTTGACACACTGCTGAATCTGGACCATTATTCTGAAGTCTTTGTTGAACCCAAATTGAACCTGGACAATAAATGGCATTCCCAGTTACTGATAGACAGTGTCAGTCAGCTAAAACTTAAAATTCAGTGCACGAATTGTCTGTACCTGCCAGGGTCTGTGGAGCAGCACCACTCAGTGACTTCTCCCTCTGCTCTCCTGCCAGAGAAATCGCTAACATCTGCAAACCAATCTCACACTTTCTGTAGTGTGATATTGTGCCTTGAGGACTCCACTAGGGCCCTGCTCCATGACCTTTCACCACTGCTTCAGATGAGCTCCAACTAAGCTGCTCACGATGGGTAGGAGCTGACCATATGCTTGAGTTGCACTGCTACAGCCAAAAAATGCTCTGCAAGTCCCTGTGTGGCAACAGCAGCTAACAAATAACATCCCCTGACAGTTCTCTCTGGTAATCTTCTCCACACAGGCATGGGTACCACACCTGTCGCTGCCTCCGTCTGGCAAGGGCAGATTTACCAGGGCAGAAAGGAGAAGAGGGAATGAAGCTGCTGCCTGCCGCTCCCCTGGTGCAGGACGGGCACCTCTTGTGGCCCCCAGCATTAGGCAGCATTGGTCCTTCCCTCCAGCTCCTCAGTCCCACTTAGCAGTCTTAGGAGGTTGGATGGTCCCAACTCAGTCGGGAGAAATCTTACACTGTAGGTTTTAGATGTTTTATTTCTGAAGCGTCTACTGGCTCAGTGTCTACACACAGCATCATTTTCAAAGCAGTTGGTGTGTTTTACTCACCAAGATACTCTGTTCCGTAGTAGGAATACATGAGTGGGAATGGTTTCCTCTTCTTCACTGCGTACTGCTTTCCTGATTCTAGTATGGCCAGGCAAATTGATTTTATTTGTGCTGGGGTCAGCACCTAAAAAGAAACATCAAAACAAACATCAAGGCTATTATAATAATTTTTTTTTTTAGGCATTTTTCAGGGCTCTGCTTTTTTTGCTGGTGCACAAGACAAAGTACTGCCTTTAATCTTATGAGCATGCCATAATGTACATCCTTATTAGGAGTTCCTTACAAAAAACAGTTAAGTTTACATAATGTTTCTCAGAAATAGAGTTTCATCCCGTCTCAGGAAAGTGAGTGTCAAATATTTAGCTGCACAGATGAGGTGAAAAGAGGCTCACTAAGAGCTCCTGCCTTTCCTTCCCAGAGATGCGTCAGTTTGATGGAAGCTGACAACAAGCCCAGGCAAGCTGCAGAACAAGAACCTCCAGACTGGAGGAAGAGACATTAGGAGAAGACAAAGGAAAACAGACCTATAGAAGAAGTGAATGTTACAGGCTTTATTGGGACACACTGAGGTACACAGATTTTTCTCAGATAATATAAAAAAGAGGAAGCAAAGAAGAGGTTACTAAATTTTATTGAAAATCAATACTACATATGTGGGTTCAGAAACATCTTAGTAAAAGAATCAGGCCTTCTTCAAGAACGTGATAAGAAAAATGAAGTGCAAGACAGGCTTCTATGAAGAGAGACTAGCAATGTTTATGGAACTTTATCATCATGAACAGGTCAACACTGCCTTTAATGCAGTCCTAAGAAATGACTAATGCCTTACTCTTAGTGGTGTCAAAAGTAAATAAGATCGACAAATTATATATTTCACCAGACATGAACTTTTCCAAGTTACTGACCTAAAGCATTCAGTGAGGAATCGGTTTTACAGGTTTTAACTACTGCTCTAATGACATGTAATTCACTGAAAACATCAGCATTTTCCTGTCAGCCACATCTGTACATTACTGAACAATACCTAGGTCATTAAAATAATTTAGTTCTAGTGTTTTGGCTTTAGGGGAAAGCCTGTATGGCAGCTGTACTTTGCAAAAAAATATTTCAACTTGTGAAAAGAGAACTGAGAAAGAAAAAAGGCAAAATGAGGCAGAAAAAAGAAAAAGGCTGTAGAAATAGCCTTGACAAGATAAACAGTAATCCTAAAACTAACTGGAATATCAAGATAATGTCTTTAAAATGTTTCTGAACACATTTGGTTTTGCTGTAATTTGTACTACCATAGGATTTACAATTACTTCTTCAAGTTTGAAAAATACTGTTAGCATTAAGTATGGAGGCAACATCTGTTATCAACCACATTCTCTCATTTGCCATGTAGAAGATGCTATGGATAATTAATGTCACATAGAACTTGACTGAAAACTAATGGCTGAAACATCTTGTTTGTCTATCTTACCTTGCTCCCTGATAACAAGGCATTTTATTACAGCTGCTCCAAATGACTATGATATTTGTACAACCTGGAGAACAACCTACTTCTGATCTTGATTAGTGTTCTTTAATGTTACTGCAATAGAAGTAAATAAGCTGTTAACATCTGGAGACTTCACTCATTTCCAGTCATTTTTAAATGAATTGTTTTAGCTTCACTGAATTTAAAGAAACAGTTTAAATCCTAAGCAAACAAGGAGATCAGAGGCACGGTGAGACACACTGCATTCTCTCTCTCATTTTACTGTCTTGCAGTTTGGGACCTAGTCCTCCAAACGCTATACTTTGTAAAATGATCAGTAAGGTAATACTTTAAAAATAAACGTGAAGGATAAGATCTCCTAGTTGTAATTCTGGAAGGCAAAGGCATGCTGATTAGAAAAACCATAATTAGTTCATTTTCTGTATGTAATGGTTCCTTCACTTAATAAATCAACTGGCTTTCAATACAAACCATGTTTTGCTAAGTATACTTTTATGTTCAGCACATTTAACTTTTAAATTGAATTAATGACTATTTTAAAATGCTGATTGTGTATTTTAAATGGATTTAAACTTCTACCTAAATCCAGCCTTGCACAATGCTTCATAAAGAAGCATCAGCTAGCAAGAAATGCATTGTTCACCATTTTCTAATATAAAGTAAGTGCAAAAAGTCAAACACTTAAGCGCTATGACTACTTAAGTGTATAGATAGTATACCCTTTTGGCTGGCATAATGATATATGCTAACGAATATCACCTCTTTTTCAGAATGCAAAAAAAGCCCACATGCAAAACCAGATGAAAAATGATTATTTAAAATCATGATTGAATGGATGATAGAAATCAACTCATCCTGACCCACTTCCACATTACCAAAGAAAATGGAAAAGATAACCTGTATATCCTGAAAGCTACCTTCTCTCTGGCCACTCAGACTGACCTATACACTTAAGGCAGATAGGAGATGTGTTCTAATAGCTAAATAAGAAAATTTTTGTGCTGACTCCAAATATCTCTTACCAAGTGCCTCAATGCACAGTCATTCTAGGCTGCTGCCTGTTTTCCAAAACACTTGAATATGAAGAATTTGTATTTGATCCTTATTCTAGGAAATGGCTGGCTGGAACAGAGACCCTCACCATCATTATTAGTGGCCTTCCGACGGCTGAATGATCAGAGATCACACTTAAGATCTCCATCGGCTTGCTACATTTTATTTCAACCAAATCTGTGTTAAAGCCTCCTCAGATTTCTTTCCCCTTGCCAAGAAATAAAATCTGTGGCTAGTCTTTGTATGCTCCCTCACAATATTTTTAATAAAACAGCTAAAAACTTATGACCAAAACAACAATCATAGAATACATTAATTGTAATCACAGATGGTGTAGCCGTGGTTCTACAAAGTTCATTTTCATTTCAGTGTAGTTGCAATGCCTCCTTGCCCCTGGGAATTACTGAAGCAATATGTTTAATTAGGGATGGCAAAGAAATAGACTGATCATCCCAAAGGCTTTGAAAGGATAAATTGCATATTGATATCACGTGCTCTGGTGAAAGCTGTCAGATGCTTTGATGAAGAATAAAGCCAATACAAGAATATGCTACGCAGAAAAAAATTTCATGCTTGAGAAGATAGCTACATTTTTTGAGAAACTTCTTGAATGTCATTTAATATGAGCTGGCTACACAGTGGGTAAAAATATTCTTTATCATGTCAGTACTTAGCCAAAAGACTACTGACACTAAGAGATATCTTGCTGGTGGCTTAATATTTCAGCTAACTCTTTTTGTATTTTTAAAGACACCACAACCTATCCTATCACATTAGAAGGGTTCATTTTAGTCTCCTCACTAGACCGAAGTTTGGAATACATGCATTCCACATTTTCCTTGCAATTTCCATATCAATTGGTCAGCGGAGTTCTTTATTTTCTGTTTTAAATCATTGTCCGGTGATGCTGTGTGCTGTTAAAGAACTGTTCCACTCACACTGGTGACAGCTGCGCTCCCATATACCTTTTACTTTAAGCACAACACTTAAGTAGCACTATAATACTTAGTATTTGTACTACTGCCTGTGCCTAGGAGCCCTACTTATAGTAAAAAAAAGTGATCGTTTCTAAAGTATCTCCATTTTTCTCTTGTGCCACTGCAGACAATATGCCTTCTCCCATTAAGGCACTCCACAAACTTGTGAATTATTTAAGGCAGGTACTTTATTCAGAAAATCCCTGTTAAAAGTCAGCAAGGAAGTGCTATGTCTACAGCAATCACAGAACACCATGCTTTTTTGTTGTTAGCAGTCTTCCTCAACCTGAGATTGGTTAGTTGGAAGTAAGTCATTTCACAAATCCTTTTAATCTACTAAGACAGGTTTAATAATACATTGGTTATGACAATGCTAGGCCCTAGATATATGTTTCAAAAATTGTAGACAGAAGTCTTGACCTTGAGGATTAGGCAGAAAGAAGCAGGACTAGTTCTTCTTTGCTTCTGATTACAATAACATTTTCAGCACTTCATCACTCTTCTGAATGCTTGCTACAAGCCCCTCGGCTCATGATTTGCCTTTTGAGAACCACTGCTACATAAAACTGAATACTGTATTGAGTATATTTGAGGACTGTAAGCTTTTAATTCTTTTAAAAGATCTGCATTTATTTTCTTAGGGCTCTTTCCTGTATGCAAGTAACAGAAGGCATTACTGAATGTCAAGTATAATTACCTTTTTATAGATGTATCAGTACTTTTAGGAGGTAACAGCTACGCTTACGTTATTGTGGAAAAAGCCTTCTTCTATGCATATAAAATTTTTAATATGCATCAAACACATCAAACCTCTGTCATACTTCTAAAAAGCCATTTACATGAATTTGATCATACACTTCTTCTGATGCTGTAGAAAATGTCAAAAATAAGCTGAAAAAAATGGGTCAGTCTACAAATAACCTAAAAGGAGCTTTGCCATTAGTCTCCTATGCTGGAAGCCCAGCAGAGGGAGCTTGTGAATTAGTTACAATACTAAAAAATACTGTAAAAAAACATATACATGTCTGTGTTCAGTAGGACAGCTGACTCAAGCAGAAAGATACTGGAGCCAACTTGGTAATTACATGATACTGCACCGTGTGATGCACTGCACTGTGTGATGTTTAAAAGTTCATACCTTAAGCTTGATCTTTTTCTACCAAAGACAGAGGCTGGGATTGTTCAGGGACCTTTCTGTGCAATGTCATGGCCAGTTGTTTTTTTTTCTTTCAGATGATGCTAACACCTGAAGCCATAGAAGAGCAGCAGGTACAAAGACAGAGGGGTCTGCCTGCCCCTAGTGTTATTGCAGTTTGATTGACATACCTCCCCTGCAGCACAGTGGGAAACCCAGCTCCAAGTGCACAGCTGTCTGCTTTCCTTAGGAGCAGTGTCAAGTACACCCTTCTTTTAAAAAAAAAAAATATTTTTTTTAAATCTCCTGAAAACTTTGTTCAAGAAATCGGATTAGTTCCTGAAGTACTACTGATACTGTTGCTAACGCAGTAGGTTCATGCTGTAACAGCACCGTGAATAGTACTTTCTAGAGAGCATGCTTCCCCAAATTTCTCACATTAACACGACTACATGACAGTGTGTGTAGACTCA